TTAAATGTATTTATTTATTTAGTAGTTCATTTATATATTTCTGGTTTTAATTCTAATTATGTCAGTTTTGGTCCTCCGTAAAGCAGAACTTGGAAGAGGTAATTCAGTGACTGAATCAGGTGTGTTGGAGCAGGGAAAAATGTACAACATGTAGGCCTGCGATCCTCAAGGACCAGGATTGCCCACCCCTGATATAGAGCTACTGTAGTGACAAATGCAACATAGTGACAAATGCAACAATGTTGCAGAATCAGATGAGTGACGAGTATTGATGTCTAGAGGATCACATTTCATCATCATGCCAATTCAGGAGTTGTACCTTACTACAAGTATTCTCCTGGCTCACACAGACATCAGCTTTTACATTTAGGTCACCTTTGGAAGCGCAACAAGTTCATTGTGAAAATGGTTAATATCACATTGTATTTCTTATTTTGGTTTTAAATGTTTTAAACCAATATTTGCCATTTCTACACAGGTATTTTTGTACTGGCAGATAAAACTACACTCCCATGTTCTTTTTCCGTTTTTGACAGATGCCTCTTTTTGTGTATTAACTTAAGAATCCAAAAAATGTTCTAAAGAGACTTATAAATAATACTTATTGTAAATTTGTGGATTATTATAGATAAAAATAAGGGTGAGTAGATAAATTATAGGAATCATGGAAAAAAACTTATTTGCCCAGAACTGTTAAGAGTAAAATGTGCTACGTTTGACCTAAAAACGCAGGTTTGATCCAGATGTGAACTCGTGACCACTCAAATAATGGTGAAAACTAAATTGGTTAAGATTCAATAGCCTCTTTCCCACAAGTCTTTTAAAGGCACACAACTGAGACAGGGGTTCAAGTCAAACTGATACTACAAGTAAGTATAAATCACCAGCTTCATCACGATATGATGTTATGTCGATTTGTTTGGATGACGTTACGATATTTCTTGATATGACAAAGTCTGTCCTGATACGGTTTTGATTCACTTCACAAGACTGTGATTGATATGATGCAATATCATATGTCCATCCAACACAAGGACTGTGTTAAATGTAGGGCTGCAGCAAACAATTCTTTTAGTAATAGATCACAGATATGTTAAACATATTTTGCAAAGGTAATATAAACGATACCTGTTGTTAACTCTGGACACGTTCAATGTACGCAGCATTTGCTGAATTTTTTATTTTTAACGAAGCTTTGAGGCAGATAAGTTTTAGTATTTGAGGAATCGTTTCAGCTCTAGATAGAGGGGAATATGATATTGCTCCACATCGGGCACACGATGACAATATGGATCGATATTTTGTTCTTGCCTTGATGTAATTGAATTATTTATCATTTAATCAATACGTCAACGTGGATCAATGTATTGAATCGGAGTTTGCCTGGTGGTGTGAAGTATAGGGCCATAAAAACAGCATCCAACACTGATGAATGATTGATCCGCTGGTTCTGTGGTGTTCTCTTTATGTGGAAAACAAACTTTCAGGACACGTCTAGTTCCACTGGTCCATTTGTGAATGACTAGAGGTGCCTTAAAGAGGAACTCATTGTGACCATATCACAGAATCATATAGCAAAAAGGTCTAAAGTTACAGGTGTTTTAGCAAGATTAGTGAATACAGGGTATCTTGATAACAGTCTTCTGACAATCCTAATGCATTATGAGGTACTGCTGCTTCACAACAACGCGGTGTCAGGTTCAAATTTTGGTTTGCCAGGTCTTTCTGTTGGAGGTTACTACGTTCTCTCTGTGCATGCATGGGTTTTCCACAGATACTCCAGTTGTCTCCAACATGAATGTTTGATTGACCTTTCAAAATGGACCGGTAGTCTGCCCAAAATTGTACCACGCCTAATATGCACTCTCCACGCACACACGGCCTAGATCACGACAAAATAGGAACAGGAAATGAGCAGGATCATTCTTGTCTTTTTGCCCTCTGTGGATTGTTAAGTGAATGCAAGATAACAACCCACTTTTTAGTCAATACGTTTTAGACAAGAAACAGAAAGTGAAAGTTTTAAAATCTTGTCAATCATCTCACCTAAATGTTCTGCCTGTTGAGAACTTCAGATCCATAAACCATCACAAATAGCTTTAATAGATGCAGCAATTCTTTCCTTTCAAACCAATAAATCTTTTTTTTCAACACCATTGTTCTGCAGGGGATGGTTTGGATAAACAAAAGTAAAACAAATGTGAGCCCACCATGGAAGTTACAGTCTACTGATGAATGACTTTATCATCTGTTTAATTTCTCCCTTCTTTCTCTATCGCAGTTTTACTGATTATCTCAAAGAAAGGGTTCACACCCATCATGATTTCATGCCTTCTTTAAATTTGGAGTACAATCAATAAACAAATAAAAGACAAAAGATAAGATCCAATGACTCAAACAACACCCAATTTTCCACTTTAATCTGATGACAAGTTAATCTTTCCATGGACGATATCTGCTACTGCATCTTTTTGTTTTGATTTTTTTTGTTCATTGTTTCTTCCTAAATGTTCCTCTTCAGAAACCTTTAGTCATTGCCTTAACTGTAAATGCTGCACAGATAGGAAAGCACATATATAAAAAAGGCAAAAAAAAATAAAATGTTTCACGAACACTGATACCAAGGAAGGTCACAAATCACCAAAATCACTTGGACGTCAACCAACACCATCCAACTCTTGTGCACACATCTCATATCTTCAAAGTCAGCCTGCTTGTGTTTTTGTCATGCCTATAAATAGCCAAACCACCTTTTAGGTTGTGTTACAACCCCAATGGGAACAATACCTGGAAAGTATCTTTATGCTGCTAATTATACCGGGGCATACTGTCTAAAGTGGAGCGAGTGTGAAATGTGAACTGTAGTGTTTATGATATGAAGCTGGCAGAAAATTCAGAAAAGTCGGTGTGCACCCTGTCCGAAAGAGTCTGCACGGCCGATTTAGAAGTGAAACCGAAGAAAGTGTGGAAGTCAAGCACTCAGCAGCTTACACTATCTGGCGTCTTTTCTGAAATGTGAGAAAAGCTCTTCTCTAGTCCACCGACCACCTGAGCTGAGCTAGTGGTCTGTGGTTCCTCTGATGCAATGCAAGGGTTGGTTGTACAGTAAGTCTGGGTTGCTTCAGAACAATGTTTGGTTCTTTCATCTTTTTAAATATAAATTAAAGTCATTTCTTCTAAATTACTTATGGCATATGGAATATGTTTTAGTTGCTGATATAATTTGAGAAAAATTGCTACAGTCTGGACTCTTAAAACTGCAATGACCCTAAATTCTTGCCTGTGTTTAACTTTCTGGACAACCTCTAGTGTTGCACAATAGAGATAATAACCAGCTCTAATCTTCTCTGGTGCTCAGACTCAGAGCTCTACCTACTAAGCATGTTTATACAGCAGGAGTGTGTTTTTCTGAGCTTGTGCCCACGCCGCTGTAGTAACTTGGAATTCCCCTAAAACTACCAGCCAGTTTTGGGATAACAGTTTCTGGAGTCATGCTTTTAGCAGCTGGTAAACAGAGAATGTTCATTCTGAACCTAAATGGCATGGTGAGGAGGTGGGGTGCTGAAATACATGGTTAAATGTACATTTTTAAGCCAAAGCTCTGAAGTAAAAGTACTGACATCAACGTTTAAACCCAAGTCTGACCAACCTTAAAATTTCCTCCTTGGTCACTTATTGGCAGAAAACAGGCAGGAGTAGAAGACAGAAGAGGCAAGACTCATGTCTCTGCTTTCCTTTGCTGCTCAGTCAGTGCTTAAATTCCAACAGACAAGTCGTGAAAAACGAATGAAAGAGGAAGAGCGAAATACAAATGACTGAAAACCAGAGTCAGGCTGTGATCAGAAAACAAGTTGCTCCACTTGTCCGTCCAGATTTTCCGTCCAGATGCTCTTTGGTCGAGTTACCAACAGACATGAGATTCTTCCATATTCCTGCAGGCTTCACTCCTCGGCTGTCCCACTGTTCACCAGAGCGAGAGAGAGGTATCAACAGCTGTGAGTGTGTTTGTTGGAGGATATGTGTGTGTGTGCGTGCGGACGAAGGTTAGGGTTTGTGTGGAAAAGAAGCTAAAGGGACCACGTGATGCAGGCTTAATCCTCCGCCCACTGGCCTAGAGGTACACACAAAACAGATCCAGGCAAGACCAATCAGAGCTAGGGCTCACACACTAATCACCCTTCCTCCTCCTCCTCCTCCTTTGCCTGCTCTCTTTCTCTCTATCTACTGTAGTCATTTCACTTCAATTCTTATTTTTTCCATTCCTTTTCTAGTTCATCTCCCACACAGCACAATCCTCTCTTTCAGACTCCGTTGTTATGTCTCTCTCACACCCTTGACTATCCTGACAACCTTTCTGTGCGACTGTACTAAAGGTCAGGTGTTTATGAGTTTGGCTGGCAGGCAGTGTAACTGTAGACACACAACCTGCTACAGGAGAAGCAACTGCCCGCCTTTTACTGACACGCCTGGCATGCCAGCTCCACATACCCTGGCTTGCTTGTAAATATAATTACAAAATGCCTCTGAAGTTAAAGAAGAAACACTTTTTTTTTTTATGATCAGAGGTCAGAGGTCAGGGTCTGCAACCTCATGGCTGGCTGCAACAGACACAAAACTACAGCAGATTGTATTTCTTCAGAGCCACCTTCACTTAACACAAAATAAATAAATAAATAAATAAATAAATAAATAAATAAATAAATAAATAAATCTCAAAAGGCCCTGTTTTTGTTGCATCTTAGTTCTTGCTAAGAAACATTACTATACATAAATGTTTTTTAAATGTTTTTTTAGTTGTTTACTCTTTTTGACCTTGCTCTGGTTTCTCAAAATAATTATTAGTGTGACAGTTAACTAGTAGGGGTGTAAGAAAATATCGATACACTGAAATATCGCGATATTTTATTTCCCGATACTGTATCGATATTCTAAAGCCCTGTATCGATTTTTAATTAAGGTTTAAAATGTCAACCTTCTTGCCAGCCGTTCATTTTTATGTTGTAGTTCAGCCTCTGACCACTAGTTGGCAGCAGTGAGACAGCCATTTTGCTCCTCTACCTCTTGAGCGCTAGAGAGTAAGGGTAGCATTAGCATTGTAAGTAAACATTAGCTTTTCTTTTTTTTTCAGTAAACGGTTTTTATTTAATAGAATTTTTGGACAAAAAAATCACAATATATCACAATATATCGCCTTGCTTACAGTATCGCAATATATCGGGATATATCGTATCGTGACCCCTCTGTTATGATATGTATCGTATCGCCAAATTCTTGCCAATACACAGCCCTATTAACTAGATGACTAATAAAATCAGGGCAAAAAAAATAAAAATAAAAAAAACAATACAAATTAAGTGAACAACACTGGAAAAACAAATGTTAGAATTTGACAGGTCGTTGAAAGTTTAGTTGAATGTTTTTGACAATCCAATTGATACTTAGAAGTAAGTATTGGGACAAGAACCTTCACTCTTTAAATCTGTGAGTTTCTAAATTTTGATGAAAAAGACATTTCTGTTAAAAGAAATTCAGATCTGTCATGTAAAATAAAACAGTCAAATTCAAAACGAATGGTAAAAAAAAGTTAAATAAAACTACCTTTCACATTTTTTCCATTTAGACTAGAAATTACAATAATAAACTTGTAAATAAAAGTCAGCATATACATACGAATGTTAATAATAAACTAATTACCATGACTCTGACGAGGATCTATTTTTTATTTACTTCATTTAAAAACAAAACTAATTCTATATACAACAAAAATATACAAATCACAAGTTAAATTGAAAGGCAGCAGAAAGAGGAAAAAAATCGTATATTATCTGCTAGCCTGGTTTAAACCAGACCCTGTCCTTCACTTTGCTTCGTACAAGGGTCTGGACTTGATGAGTAGAGAATCGATTTCTTGCAGGAGGCGTGGCCTCTGCTGAAGCATGTGTGTGTTGTCGCTGTGAAGGAGGCTACGCTAAGAAGCTAACCGGAAATCGTGTGCGCTTTAAACAGCCCTACTGAGAGGAGAAATACACCGAGCTGAACGAGACGACTGTAAATGAGAGCTGCTGCTTTGTCAGACAAATTTAATTTAATTTGGAAACCTTATCAACACAGACTGGCTTCATTCACTACCTCCACTGCCGTATGCTAAACTAACTAGCAGACACTGCGCAGAACACGACGTCATTCAAAACTCTTTCTGTTTGCTGATTGGCCCAGGTAAAATAAACTACAAGCAGACACTGCGCAGAAAATTGACGTTCTCTTCTCTGATTGGCCCGGCTAAAAATCTGCCAGTGAAATCCTTGTCTATGGGAGAAGTCCCAGACGGAGAAGTGAAGGGAAACTAGAATTGAGTGGAGCTGCATAGGAAGGCAAGGGCCAGGCTAATTATCTGCCCATATTTTCCAAAAAATAATTAATACTATATATTTGTAAGACTGCTTTATCATTAAATAGCTCCCTTACTTTATACAGTGCTGCAGTGGATTTGGCCATTATTGTTTTTAAGTTATTTATGTGAGGTCTCCATGTCAGATTTTCATCAATGGTGACACCCAAAAACTTCACCTCACTGACCCTACACATCTCAACACCATCAACTCTAAATGGCACATCAACAGTTTTCTTTCTATTACTAAATATCATGTAATTAGTTTTATCCAAATTTAATGATAATTTAGTAAGCCGAAACCAAGTTTTTTACTAATTCTGTTTGCATCATTTCCAAAATCCGTTTTATATCTTTACCCAAACCATCTGCAAATAATACACATTTAAAAAGCACTGACACATTTACCAAATCATTCACATATTTAAAAAAATATCTTTGGTCCAAGTACATAGCCCTGTGGAATGCCACAGTTGATATTACAGAGTTCAGATCTTTATTTATTTGTGCAAACCATTTCCTGTTTTTCAGATAACTAAATATCCACTGTAGTGCTGGACCTCTTATGACATATTTATTCAGCTTTTCAAGAAGAATAGTGTTGTCAATAGAGTCAAATGCTTTCTTTAAATCAAAATAAACACTAACACACTAATGGTTTTGATCAACCACAGTTATTTGTTCATTCAATTCTATGAGAGCCACTGATGTAGATTATTAGCTCTAAAACCATATTGATTTTTACTTAAAATATTTTGTTTATCAATACACTGATCTAATCTAGTCACACATTTTTTCTAAAATCTTTTCAACTGTGGCAACAAGGGTATTGGTCCATAATTTGTAAACATACATTTCTCACAATTCTTAAAAAGAGGAATTACCTTGGCTACTTTCATATTGTTTGGAAATATAATTGAAAAAAAAAATTACAGATATATGCAAACGGCTCAATAGCATAACCCATTATTTCCTTCACAAACATCATACTCATGTCCACCCAGTCTTTTGATCTTTTGTCAGCAAGATTTTTTTTGCAATACTCAGTATTTCTTCTTTGTCAGTTCTATCAAGAAAAATCCTATTGGCGCAACCCATAATTGTATGACTCACATTACTACTGTATCTACTTTTTGTATTTTAGCTTCAAGACTTGGTCCAACATTCACAAAATAATGATTAAATCCATTTATAGTTTCATTCTGATCAAAGATTGCATTGTCATCCTTAACAAAATATTGCGAAATGCCTGATTTTGCTTCAGGATTTTTCAGAACACTATTCATTACTCTCCATGTTGCTTTCATATCACCATTACTTTTGTCTACCAAATTACTGTAATATTCCTTCTTATGCTTTCTTATAATCCATCCTAACTTGTTTCTATACTTCTTGTATCTCTCAAGCATTTCTCATCCCTTTTGTCATCCATGGTTTGTCAACAATATTTACCTTTGTATATTTTTTGCACACAATTCTGTTCATACAGAGCTCCTAAAATTTCCATAATCTGAAAGCACCAGGTTCGTTTTTAGGTTTTGTCTTGCAAAGAAGTGAATATTGTGAAGTGTAGAACTAAAGATAAACCGATAATTTTTTGTTTGTTTTTTCACAGCCTTTGATTTAAGCCTTTACTGAAACACAATTAAACTTGTAGCCTTATGAGTAGCTGGTGAGTTCAGTTGGGTGAGAAAAAGTCTAAATAAAATTAATTGTAAGAGTATTTCGGGAACTTTAAATATTTGAGGACTGAAAATGACAACTCAGAAAATCAAATAGTTTGAAAATATTGCTTATTTTTGTTGCTTTATTCTAATGAGTGAGGGTTTGTAAAGGTCGTTTACCTAAAAACAACAATATGAAAATCATACATGTATGTGAAACACTGCATTACTCTTATTAGACATAGAAACAATGAAACAATGGATGATGTCATCATCTTTTGACCAATGGGCATCACGATGGTGACTCATCAAAGCTATGTTGTAATTACAAATGTATCCAGCTCACCCAAGGGAAAAAAACCAAACCAACAGACAAAATTGTTTCCATAGCCAAATTACACAAAATGTCCAAATTAGAGAGTAAAACAAACACTTTCACCAACACAGATTACACTAAACTATTGTGTCCTTTCTCTTTTCCAGGTGAACCAAAAGAACTCATCAGTCATAAAATAACTGGGCTCCCTAGAGAGGAAAAGGCTCTGTCAGAGATAAATATACCACGAGAGAAACACAAAGCTCATGTTTTCATTTGTGTGTTGGATGTGATCCAGTTCATATGACATATGTGCAAAAGGAAACAAAAGATTCAAGCAGCCAAGAAAATGTCACCAACCTGTCAGACAAGCAGAGATTTATGACATTTGTTTCAACTGTATAACTGACTTGTTCATCTGTGCAAACACATCCATGTGATGTACACAAATGCACAGAAACTTGATTAACAATGGAAAATTGTATCTGAAGACCTAAAACTTTAAACTAGCACTTACAGTTTATGTGAAAAAGATTTGGGGAACCTCATGCCTGTGTTCCAAACTTAATCAGAGCTGCTGCACTTACTGGTCTAAATATACAGTTGGGCCTAAATTTATCTCCAGTGATAACAGTGAAGAGGAGCCATGAGCCTCAAACATACTGGAGTCATTCTGGAATATAAATACAAGATGATTAGTCAAAGCTGTCCTCTGAGCAAAGCAAAAACTTTTCAACTTGTTACAGGTGTAGAGAAGGCCTCATTCTTGGCTCATGTCCAAACAAGAATGTGGTTTATCAACAGCCTCT